TACCTGATGGTTGCCCTCTCCCCTCCCCCCTCCAGTTTGTTTTCATGTGCTCACATTGTTTCTTCTGTGTTAGGGACCTGCCCAAGTATACTGTAACAGCTACATTACAGGTTGGTTTTAAAATTTCAGTAATGAGAAATTAAGTGGGCTATTGGTGTTTGCTTTTGTGACATGCCTTATTCTCTCAGAATAACTGTAACGTCCTTCTGTTCAACAATTAAAGCTGATGAGTATTTTGATCTTTCAATGCTACAGTGTGCAGGAAACCGCAGGACAGCTATGAGCAAAACGAAAAAAGTGAGAGGAGTTGGATGGGGCATTGCTGCCTTAGGAAATGGTTTGTGCTTTTCACATTGAAACAAATGAAGTAATATTAATTTGAGTAATATTGGGGCAATTTCTGTTCCTTCATTATATGCTGTAAACTATCCATGCTTTGCTGTAGGACTTCATCAATTTGTAAAATTAGAGAAAGAAGCAAACACGAGTTTGGCTATATTGGATAAGTAGGCTTTCTATGATGCTTGTTTTTATGGAGTATAGTTTGCTGAATATAGTCTGCAGACTACTGTCTTTTTTATGCCTGTTGAAGAACTTGGTGTATACTTGTTAGATAATTGCTTACATAAACTGATGCTTAGAGAGTTTGTGCTCAGTCCACCTTCCTAACCTTTTATTATCTTTTAACTTTAATTCAGCTGTATGGGGTGGAGCTAAACTAGCAGATGTGCTTGAACTTGTTGGTGTTCCTAAGCTAGCGAGTTCCACAGCAAGTGGGGGAAAACATGTTGAATTTGTCAGTGTTGACAGGTGCAAGGTAATGCTTCTTTCATTCTCTGTTTTGACTTTTGTTTATACGTTTTTTTCATCATTCTTCAATAATTGGTGGGTTTTTTTTTTTTATTTATTTATTTTTATTTTTAAAAATCTCTTGATGGAGAGTTTCACCAGATCTATTTGTTGTTGAGTAGGAAGAGAATGGCGGTCCTTATAAGGCATCAATTCCGTTGAGCCAGGCAACTAACCCGGAGGCCGATGTATTACTTGCCTATGAAATGAATGGAGAGGTGATTTTCATCTAAGTTCTTACTGCCTTTTTTCTTCTTCAATGCCTTACACAAAATCTGAATCTCTACCAAGCTTGCATCTAAGGCAGGATTTTTCTAACACTCGTGATAGGATTCCACCTTAATAACTTACTCATCAAAGAGAGTTTGTAGACTTTGATTATGAGTAAATTTATGTTATATTTTGCTACATATCTACTACTGATAAAGTAAACTGTCCCTGCTAGTTAATCTGCAGCTAATGGAGTCACTCTATGTTGTGGCTTCTAAGGCCCTGTTCTATCTGACTTATTTTTGGCTCAAATAAGTTCAAATAAATCTGGATAGTTCAGTTCAGTTGAAACAAAAATAATCCTTCCCCCCATGCACAAAATTAAAAAAAAAAAAAAAAAAAAAAAGATAAAATAAGTCAAGTAAGTTCAAATAAGATAAGTTTAGACAAGATGATTCGAATAGAATGAAGCTTAAATGAAGAGATGTGGGCATGTTTTGACAGAGGATGTTAATCAGGGCTCATTTTATTTTTAATTTCCCCACTCTCTACCTGTGTTAAACCAGAGAAGAAAAAGGCTGATCAACTGCAGTTGAAACCTCATAGGTATTGTGTTTGTAAAATTGATTTGGGCCTGATTTTCTTACTGTCTTCTCTTCTGTATGGAGACATCAGGCATTGATAATTTGACTGCCTAGAATTTCCATCATCTTGATAAAAAAGATAGTGAAAAGATGAGAAAAGTGGTTGAGCTATTGATTTTCCAATCAAGCTTCATTCACGATCACTAACTGATCTCATGACCAGCATTAAGTGTCTTTGTGTGCAGTATCAATCTAACTTGAGTTTATCTGTTTGTGATATGACCTTAGCCTCTTAACAGGGATCATGGTTATCCATTACGTGTAATTGTCCCGGGTGTTATTGGTGCTCGTTCAGTTAAATGGCTGGATTCTGTCAATGTGATTGCTGAAGAATCTCAGGTTGGCTAATATAGAGTACTTGGTTTTTATAAGCTGTTACATATTTTCTCTTTAGGGGACTTAGTGGCCTATTTCATGCTGCTATCAACAGGGTTTCTTCACGCAAAAGGATTATAAAATGTTCCCTCCTACAGTTGATTGGGATAATATAAATTGGTCAATGAGGAGGCCTCAAATGGATTTTCCAGTTCAGGTATATGTATTCCTGAAAGCTGATGTGCACCATACTCTGACATAACTTGTTCAGAAATAAATTTGGGCAGAATGTGATTAGATTTCTGAACTTGAACGTTTGAATTTGTGGGCATAATGAGAATAAATGTTGCTTCTTTTTTTGCAGTCCGCCATCTGTTCCTTAGAAGACTCTAATGTTCTGAAGGATGGCAAGGTAATTTTGCTACATTTGTTCCTTCTCACTCAATAATACTTGGGCAAAATATAATTACATATGCGCTTTGTTCAAACTACAATATCAACAATTTAGCACTTAACATTCTGGAGAGTGGAGACCCCATCCAATGGCAAAATATCTCGGAATGTTTGCACTCTTATATAATTATAAATCAAATGCACAAATATAGAGAGGATTTTATGTTCTTAAAAAAATATCTCCTGAAATCCTCTTTGCTGAATTCTGGCACTTCAGGAATATGTCAACATTAGCACTATCTGGTAATGGTATCTAAAACTTTTTTTTATTTTTTATTTTTATCTGGGTTTAGGTAATAGTCAAAGGATATGCACTATCTGGTGGAGGTCGGGGGATTGAAAGAGTAGATTTATCCATAGATGGAGGTAAAACATGGGTGGAAGCCTCCAGATACCAGAAACCAGGCGTGCCGTATGTTGCAGATAGTTTCTACTGTGACAAGTGGGCGTGGGTATTTTTTGAGGCCGAAGTTGAGGTGCAGCATAGAGCTGAGATTGTTGCAAAAGCGGTAAGGATGTGTTATACTGTATTACGTAATAAAATTCCTTGGTCCCTTCTCTTGCAGATACTTTGGTCTTCTGTTTTATTTTATTTTTTAATTTTAAAATTTTTATACAAACTGGCTTGAGTATTATGCTCTGAAAAATTTAATGAAAAACTTTACATGGCTGTCTTATGAGTAACTTTAAGTTTCTGTTTTCTGTCTATGTAGAACACTAAAACAGCTGCTCAACTGCTGTTACTTTTGTAATATAAAATCTTTTGATTCAACTCATTTCATGTTCAATTATTGCTGAGTTTTCTAATGGCACTATTTGTGCTTGATGTTTTCTTTGATTTGTGGCAGGTGGATATCGCTGCAAACGTGCAGCCCGAAAGCGTAGAAAGTATCTGGAATCTCAGAGGAATTTTGAACACATCATGGCATAGGGTTGATGTTAGAATTGGTCACTCAAGTATGTGATATATCAAAGTCTACCTTATTGTATTTGGGTTGACAAAATTTTAACTATATGTGGCAAGACTTGCAATTCTATTTCGCGACTTGGTGAATAACCTATAAGCTACTATGTATGGTTATTGTATGTATTGTATTAGTGATTCTGAGGCTCTTTTTTCGTGGTTTGAAGCTATTTGAATCAATCGTTTTCCTTATCTCGAACCTGTCACATACGGAGTAACATACTCCCTCCGTTTCAGAATGATGTTGTTTACGTAAATCGATGCAAAATTTTGCCCATCTTTGACCGCAGATGTCTTTAATCTCAGACGAGCAAAAATTATAGTAGTTAGATATTAATAATGTACTCAATAAGACGAATCAAACTAGATCCCACGTGACTATATTTGTTCTTGTAGATTGAGAGAAATTTAAAGGATACTCTTTTATTTTTTAAAAGTCAAAATTCCAAACAGAAACATGGAATGGAGGGAGTATAAGTATAAATGCTTCGTATTTAAGTGATGAAAAGACATGATAATATTTACATTTTTTTTTCGAGAGAGAATGGAAGTATTTACCTACAGGTTTCTCATTAATCTTTAAGCCATTTCATAGTGAAGTAAGAGCTAGACTTGAGTTGAGTGTGGTCGTAAGTTCGTAACTCAAATACGGATCTAAAACTATTAAATTAAAATAGTTGGGCAGTTGGGCACCAACTAATAAAATAACCAGCGTGTGACCCGAGTTTGCGTGCGGTAATTTTTTTTAGATTTTTTTTTGTTTTTATTCTACACTCCAATTTGTATTTATCTATTTGTGTGGATTGATATAGCATTTTCTTCTAGCTAAGAGTGTTCAAACCTCTATGAATGCATTTTTAGTTAATGATGACATGGAATAAAAACTGTTGAATGGTGATGAGCAATGCTAGTGTTAGAAGGGGCACACTTGACGTAAAAACATCTTTAAGAACGTCTTTTAATAAATAGTATAGATTAAATGAAGCAAGGTAGAATTTAAATCGTATAAGCATTACCAAAAAAATGGTCTTACTTTTATACGGAGTAGTTGCTAAACCATTCAAATATTCAATTGATAACTTATTTTAGCTTTTTAAAAAAAAAAATTTACTTGTAATAATTTTTTTTTATATTCCTTTCAAAAAAAAAAAAAAATTATTCTTTTTTACAGTATATTAAAACAAATTTTTTTAAAAAAATTAAAATAAAAAAATACGGGAACAAAATGGCTTGTAAATAGTATAGATTAAATGAAGCAAGGTAGAATTTAAATCGTATAAGCATTACCAAAAAAAATGGTCTTACTTTTATACGGAGTAGTTGCTAAACCATTCAAATATTCAATTAAAATAAAAAAATACGGGAACAAAATGGCTTGTAAATAGTATAGATTAAATGAAGCAAGGTAGAATTTAAATCGTATAAGCATTACCAAAAAAATGGTCTTACTTTTATACGGAGTAGTTGCTAAACCATTCAAATATTCAATTAATAACTTATTTTAGCTTTTTAAAAAAATAATTTACTTGTAATAATTTTTTTTTATATTCCTTTCAAAAAAAAAAAAATTATTCTTTTTTACAGTATATTAAAACAAATTTTTTTAGAAAAATTAAAATAAAAAAATACGGGAACAAAATGGCTTCGCCCAGGTTCGAACTGGGGACCTTCAGTGTGTTAGACTGACGTGATAACCAACTACACCACGAAACCTCTTCTGAACAAACTTCTCAAAATATTTTACTTAACCTAAAATCTACAATAACACCTAAAAAAGAAAATAAAATAAAATACAAGTACTAAGTAATAAAAATTAAAAACCCTCCAAAATCAGAAATCCCTTCACAAAATCCTTCTCTCACTCTTTCTTTCTCTCTCCTGAAAGTTACAGTAAGAAAGGAGCTTGAAAGAGGTGCAACAATGGCGAAACAAGAGGAGAGAGAAGAAAACCAGCAAAGTTGGAGGAAAGAAGTCGATAACAACATCAACCGTCTTCAATCTCTACTCTTCGGCGCCGATTTCGCTTTAGAGAATCGCGATTATTCTTCCGCACAACTTCTCAGTCTTCGTCTCCTCGGTTTTCTCGATTCTCGCTCTCAAAACGACGTCGATTCCTCGTTTATTCATCCTATTCGTCGTGATGCTTTGTCTAAGCTCGACGCTTCTCGCCGTGAACTTACTCCCGTTTACGACCGGTAACTCTTTCTCTCTATTATGTTCCTTTTTGAGGTATTTGTAATTTTTAGTATTTCAGTTTTTTTTTTTTTTTTTTTTTTTTTTTTTTTTTTTTTTTGATTTTGGTGAATTTTTTGTTTGATGATGGATTTTATATTGCGAATTGAAGCTGAATGATTTCGTTATTCGAAAATTTCGGTGGAAAAATTTTATATAAGTGCTTAATTTTGTTCGATTTTTCTGTTCACGAAATTGATTACTGTATTTTGATATTGAATGGAGCTGCAATTTGAGCTAATTTGATTTTTCGCCATTTTTCAAAATTATTGTTTTGTTTTCGAATTGGAGGAACGCTTTTGGTGTTAGGTTTTGTTTCAGAAGTTGAATCTCTATATTTTGATGATTGCGAACATCGTTTCATTGATTATAAGAGATGAAGCTCTAGTGAATTTTTATATTTAGGCTTTTGGAAGCATTAAATTCTGTAACTAAACCAGAAGAACTTCACTTTGTTGTTCGGGTTTTGTTAGGGAAACTAAGACATACTTTGTATGTTGTATTGCGATTTAATGATTGTAGGAGTTTGTTGGCCAACACATTTGATACATTGCAAAATGATTGACTGCTAAGGTTATCTTACTTTTACAACCTCAAAAGCACTTAGATTGTGATATGTCTAGGCAATAGATGCTCCAAGAACTATAAAGGAAAATGAAGCTTACATCTTCCTTAAATAATTCAACATAACACTATAGAGATGGAAACTAGTGACGCGACATGCCTTGTGATATTATTGTACTCTGTATATAAGTGAAAATAAGCCAGAAGGGAGATTGGAGATGGAGAGTATAATCATATCCATGAGAATGCTCACAGTATGTGGTCATAGAAGGGAAAGGATTGCATATGAGGTCATAAAATGTAGTATTCTTGGTTTGCTGCTACAAGAGAGAAGCTATTCTTGTCAAAAAACAAGAAGTGAGATTTATTATTGGCTGTGTGAATGACCTAGTCAGAGATCATGTGTAGGAAACACTGGTTCCCTCAGAAGCCATTATGTGCCAACCTATCAAGATGGTGGGGAACATATCTGTGTTTCCTCTTTCTTACACATTTTCTGATGCTCTAACTCTTGATAACAGCAACAAGCTAGAGGGCAGTTATTTCTAATGTCCATAATGCAGGCTCTGCCTTTAACATATGACCCAAAAAAGTGTTATTGAGATATTTCCCTTATCCTTGACAATAGTTGTGATTGATATGTCGCTTTAATGCTTTCTTTTCTTGGCAGAATTAATTTATTTGTAATTTTCTTTGTGCAGCAGTTATCTGTTATCCTGTGGAAGTTTGTGTTTCATCTCTACTGTTTAAATTTTTTTGTAAAAAGTTTTACTATGTGCCATTTGTGTAACAGCCAAGCATTTGAAGCAGCAGGCATACCTCCTGGAAAAATTTTCTCCATAAATGCAGACGTTGATGTCAAGATCAAGCAGTCAAAATGTTTTCGTGCCCTTATTCAGCAGTCTTCCAAAGTAAATACGAGTGGATTGGTATGTGTGATCTAAGGCCTTGAAAATTTCAGTTTCTAATGACTCACATTTCTATTAATGCTAATTATACCTAATGCACTCTTCATTTTGGGGAGGGGGGCAATTAATGTAGTTTAAGCACTTTGATAGATCTTTGGAATCACAACTGATTGAATTTGACTAGTGTCGTTATGAGTCTTCTAATTGTGCAACTGTTCTAGACTCCTAGTAAGTTATGTTCATTGTGTAACCTCCTTAGCCAGTAGGGAGCAGTACTTTTGATTTAAGTGCTCATTGCTATCTACATCTTGTGCAGGGAGGCCAAAGAGACCAATTTGAGAGAATGACTAGGAAGACCTCCAAAACCACTCTTGAGGCAGACTTGTCATCTTGGCATGGGAACAACATGACGGGTAGAAGTAATGTTGGTGTAAAAGGTCCTGTTACATCCAAAAATAATGGTACTGACGACTGCATTATTTTGGACAAGGCATGTGCATCAAATAATCACGTCAGAGGGCATTCTTCATTTGCACGCGCTGAAGAAGAAGAAAGAACGCTTGGAAACAATTTGGGAGTAAAGCGTCCTCACATGGAAACAAGGTATCCTAGAAATGACATCGGATCACCTTTGAGCAACAAGGAAACTAACAGAGAAGTCTCTGGAAATGTGTTTGTGACTGCTAGAACCAAATTGGTATTTTCAATTATGTCTACATCTTGAAATTAGACTACAGCCTTCTCAAAATGTTGGAAACCTGGGACTTGTTCCAGTCTCCAAATTATCTTATCGAAATTTATATCTTGTTTTCCTTATGACAGGAAATGGAAGTAAAGCAAAAGAAAGGATTGGGTGGTTCACCAAGCTGTTCTGTCTCTCCCATTAGCGATTACAATTCCAACAGCCGGGGTTATAGTGGAAAATCATATGGTGTATCACGCCGTGGGGTCCGTGGTAATTTTATTCCCCCAATCAGATCCAATGGCAACAATGCTGGGAATATGACTGCACGAATTGGTGGCAAATGTGATGATGCTGCGGAGGATTCAACCAGAAAATGGTATGTCCAGCTCACAAGTGTATTATTAAACTTCGGTTGATAAGCTTTTCACAGTTTTTTGCTTTAATTTTTATTTTTGTTTTTGTTTTTGTTTTGTTTTGTTTTTTGTTTGTTTTTGTTTTTTTGGTTTTTTCCTGTCATGCTTCGTTATAAGATTATACTAATCTAAGTGGTAGTTCTTTTGACAGAAAGTTGAACTTTGTAGTCAAAATTTGAGGATTTTTTTGGCTGACAAAAAACATAGGAATTGTTCCTAGAAAGTTCTTTGCACAAAATGAAGAAAGTTAAATAACTTAATCCTCCCCAGTTTAGTCTATTCCTCAAGGCCCACCAAATAGTTTTTTACATGTCCTGGCATCCAGCCAAATGGCCACCAAGTGGAGTTCCCACACTCTACTTCCTGTGGTCAACTGGTGGAAGGTGATCAGATATTCATATTTGCTAACAGCTCATTTGTTTTGTGCTAGTTTGGAAATGTTATGTGGTCCTGATGGGGAGCTGCCAGAGAAGCTGAGAAATTTGGAGCCTCGTCTAATTGAACATGTTAGCAATGAGATCATGGACCGAGATCCCAATGTGCGCTGGGATGACATTGGTAATTTGCATTTGTTATATGCAATGCTCCTTTTTGTGAATATATCTAGCACTCATTGTCTTCTTGTTACAGCTGGTTTAGAGCATGCCAAGAAATGTGTGACAGAGATGGTGGTTTGGCCTCTATTGCGCCCAGACATTTTCAAAGGATGCCGTGCTCCAGGAAGAGGTCTTCTGCTCTTTGGTCCACCTGTAAGTACTGCAGCTCTTTACTTTTAAAGTGCAAGTGGCCTAAAAGCTACTGTTTCATGAATATTGTCTCATATATTTATTTCAGGGAACTGGTAAAACAATGATTGGGAAGGCTATAGCTGGAGAGGCTAAAGCAACATTTTTTTACATATCTGCCAGTTCACTGACTAGTAAGTGGGTAAGTTTAAAACCTTGGATCCAAAGATTTTTGCATTGTTCACTGTGTTTTGTGTTTTCTGCTTGCTTGTAATTCTAAATCACGTTCTCATAAAAAATAGGGAGTTTTCCAGTTCAATTTGCTGCAGACTATACATTTCTCTTGCCACCTTAGAATTTTGTTGTCTTTTTCCTAGGAATTCCTTATCTACTCTCCTTATATATAGAACTTTATTCTCTGATGAATTTAAATTCTTTCATCTGATATGTAGAACTTAATTTGTTCAAGGTTCAAGTGTGGCTTGTTAATCTGTGAGTGTTTTGAGATATTTGCTTGCTAATTGTGCATTACAATGACATATGAATCTCATGAAACTTGGAAGGCATGTCCACTTATTTCTTGTTTTCCTGACTCCCTTCATTGGCAATTGACATCATGAAGAAATGACCTTCGCTTTAAGCTGTTAATTGACAATATATTACTAATATGACTAGGGGGGTGGTTGGATTGGGAGTGAAGAATTAAGGGTGGTTAATAAGAGAGAACAAAGAAAAGGAAGACAGGTGTAGTTTGCAGTTGTGGTTGAGAGAGGAGGATGGAGGTGGACCGTGGGGAAATCATTACCTCTTATTACCGTCTAGGTTAAGCATCCTCTCCCTCCCTCTCCCCAGAAAGGTTTAAACCCCCAAAATGAAGATTATAATCGCTTCATCCCTCCTTCAACCACCAGTCCACCACCACCTGTCTACCTCTGCCAATCTTCCTTGGCTTGATTTTCTCTTATTACCCCTTCTTTAATTCATTAATTCCTAATTCAAGCTTGCCTAAAGATTCAGATAGAGACTGTCTGCTATTATCTTCAGAATTTTATGTTTAAGAAGTGCAAACTGGCTATGATGCATTTTTATGTTAGAGCTAAGATATTGATGTGTTGATAAAATGCAGATCGGGGAGGGTGAAAAGCTAGTGAGGGCTCTATTTGGAGTTGCCAGTTGCCGTCAACCAGCAGTTATATTTGTTGATGAAATTGATTCCCTTCTGTCGCAGGTAATGCTGGTCTCTGAGCTTTAGCTTTGGAGGAAGAGGGATTTTTATTGTTTTTATTGCTTCTATATGGACTTGACTGGGGAAGCAAATATTTGCCTCAGTGTAAGACATTCTTGGGGTTTCAAATTAATAAAAAGGAGGCTTGAACAGAAAAATGTGACCACATATTTAATTATATTTTTGAAGATGAATTAATTCAGTTCCTGCACGAATCATAACTTTCTATATTGCTGAGAAGTTTTATAAAAGTTTATTTTATGACAGCGCAAATCAGAAGGTGAGCATGAAGCAAGTAGGAGACTCAAGACTCAGTTTCTCATTGAGATGGAAGGCTTTGACAGTATAAGTGAACAGATTCTGCTTATAGGTGATTGTTCATATCTTTATGGCAGATTGTCAAACCTGACTATTGATGCTCTTTTATCGTACAACCTGCCACATTAGGTGGAGTATTCATTAGATAAATTGCTAATGATTGCTATTATTTCAACTTTTACAGTAAATATAATTAGGTTTGACTTCAAGCAAAGATGTTAAACTTTATGATTATCTTGTAAAAATTGGGCTTCCCTAACCTCTTATATTATTCTTGTTGAAGTCTTTGCTGATGCCAATTTGGTTGCACTTGGATGCCAAGGTCTAGGCTGTTGCATCAGTGTTTTCATGGGCATGGCATAGTGGACTCTTTATGCTTAGGCATTGCACCCAATGGTCTATTTCATGTTTTGATTCGGGTATCAATTAACATGTAAATTATGTGTACTCTGCAGGAGCTACAAATAGGCCCCAAGAGCTTGATGAAGCAGCAAGGAGGCGGCTTACGAAACGACTGTACATACCACTCCCTTCTGCAGGTCTGTGTCTCTGCCCGTCGCCTGAATTTCCAGCAGATATCACTGATAGGTTATAATAAAAATATTTTGAATGCACAGAAGCAAGAGCCTGGATAGTACGCAATCTCCTGGAAAAAGATGGGCTGTTTAGACTCTCAAAAGAGGATATGGACATAATCTGCAAATTGACTGAAGGTTTTTGACTTATCCACCATTTACCAACCTTGCGATCACACATTTATGGGCTTCATCTGTTTTTTTACCATATGTATTTCACCCCATCCCAGGTTACTCTGGATCGGATATGAAAAATCTTGTGAAGGATGCTTCCATGGGTCCACTAAGAGATGCTTTGAGGCAGGGCATAGAAATTACAAAGCTGGACAAAGAGGATATGAGGCCAGTAACTCTACAGGTAAGCATGTCTTGCTTGAAATAGCTTATTTAATACTCATGTTACAGTTGGTAAGTTTTCTTTAGCTATTTAAGCCATGACTGCTATTATTTTGTAGGATTTTAAAGATGCTTTGCAGGAGGTGAGGCCGTCAGTTTCACCTAATGAACTTGGTATATATGAAAACTGGAACAAACAGTTCGGAAGCTTGGCAGTCTAGCACTAAGGTAAAATGACTAGATTAATGAGCGTCGCTACAACATCTGACATTTGGTGGACTTGGAGCTTCAGATTTTCAGTTTGATTCTGAGCATTTTCCCTCTTTCCTTCAAAAATTATATGAAGAGAAGAGTATAGGTTCAAAAGACAGTGCTAGACTGCTAGAGGTTTGTCAGAGTTGGCATAATAGTACACATGGTTGTCTTGCAGTGCAAATTAAAGAATGAATGTAACACTTTTTCTCACATGGCTTGTATAATGAAACATGTTCAATTTATCTTTTCTACGTATTTCATAAGGAAGAGCTCGGAGTTTAGCTAAGGGATTAAAGTTGCAGATATAATTGAAGTTAGTGATTTGGTAGAGTGTAACGTACAAAACGATAAAGCTGTAAAGACTGCAAGCTATTGTAGATGTAGTGTCAATTGTAATGGAGCAAATATTTAAAAACGGAGGGAGTAATGTATAGCCAACAAAGTGAATAAGTAATTCAGCTTGACTTTATTATATACTTTAGCATTCAATTTTTGTATGAGTTGATTGCTTTCCTCTTTTGTTAAGGTAAGATAACTATTGTTTTGGAAGATTTAAACAGATGACCAGAAATGAAATATCAATGCTCACTTGAAATGAATGGCTTCTTTCTCTTGGAATTTTAACCTTTTATTAAGCAATGAGTTTTATAACAATGTCAAAGACGGAAAAGTTACAAGCAATGACGACAGCAATAGCCCACAAAACCAGAAAGTAGTTCAATCAGGCATTCAGCATGACTACTAGATTACGAGTTCATGTAACAATATGCGTTGTAAACTATTCTACATATCTACTAATAACAGAAATTCAATGGCTTTTAGAAAACGTTGAAATTAACCGTATTTGTCAAATTAATTTTGTCATTCTTCTGTGTATTTTGGGTTGTTCTTCAAGACGACACAACTCTCCAATATGGGCGACAATGGAACATACTTATTACTGATGGTTCAACCCTCTTGTCAGTTGAGAGAACAAGGTATTGGTGCAAATTCTTGACTGCATTCTAATGCAGCCAAGATAGCTGCATCAAGGCAAAACGCAGCCTCAACTGAATGAAACACAAGCTCCATCTTCTTCAAGTTTCCTTTTTTATGATTCTGTTTCTTCACTTTCATAATAATAATTTTGATCTCAATTTTCTCTCTCCTCTCTCATCTTCCATTCGATATTTTCTCTCTCCTCTTTTTTCTTTTTCATTTAACATTTTCTCTCTTCTCTGTTATTTGCATCACTATGGATTTGGTTTCTAATCCTAATGAGATCAATGAAGGTTAGTTTTGATGTTGTTTGTAATTATTTTAATTGAGTTAGACTTTGGATGAGTTTATAATTGTTTTTGAATTTATAATTTGATGAGTTTCAATTTACTCTTAATAATTCGTTTTCGATTTTATAATTTCAATTTTTGGTATTCTGATTTTGATGTGAAAAGTAATTGAATTGCTTAATTTGTAATCATTTTCTTTCTTCTTTCTCTCTCTTTTTTTTGGTAGTCTTTAGATTCTCAATCATGTTACAAATCAATAACTATTTTCTCTATGATAAATCAATAATTTTATTTTCTATGATAAATCAAGATTAATTAGATTATTTTCAATTTTTTAGAGTTTGAATAATTACAATCGAATTTGAGTATAATTTCTGTAAAAAAAAAAAAGCGAACATGTATTATTTTAAAAATGAACATCTAGTACAAAATGAACATCCAATACAAAATGAACATTTAGTACACTGAAAATGAACATTCAGTACATAAAAATGAATATATTTCAACAATTTATTATATCTTTATTTTTTCGTTAATAATTATGTACAATGAATTTGAATCTATATGAAAATCATGTTCATTTTTAATATCCTAAGTGTTCATAAATTTTTGTTACATGTTCATTTTTTTACGTGTTCATATGTTAATACGAAATGATCATTTTTTAAAGTGTTCATATATTTTTATGAAAGGTTAATTTTATTAGGTTAAAAGTGGAATTATAATACGTTGAAAGTGGAATTATTTGATCATTTAGTGTTGAAAATATGAACAATTTATATATGGGATATTCTCAACGGTAACCCCCAACAATTGCTATGCAGGTAACCCCCTTTTTTTGGATTATACAAAATGACCTTAATTTAATTTTTTCAGTCACTCATAATCTTATTTCATTAAATTTATTAACTATAGTTAGATTTCTATTTAAAAAAAAAAAAAAAACTAATAAAATTAACCCAACCACCTGCCCAGCTACCCCCACCTGCCCAGCCACCCCCAACTTTATTTTTTTTCCCTTTCTTCTTCTTCTTCCCTTCCCCCCTCCATAACTTCAGGCCACCACCTCCCCGGCCTCCTGGCCCACTTGCCTTCCGGCCACCCTACCCAAAAACCCATCCCCTTCCGTCCCTTTCCGATTTCCGGCCAACCCCCCTTGCCCAAACCCCATCCCCTGCGCCGACGAAGCTAATTCGCCCATCTTTACCAACTTTTCCCCCTTAAACCACCATCCTCGACACCCTAAAACCCCAAAAACGAATTCCCTAAAATCAAAACCCTAGATTTCGACATTCCGGCAACCTTCTGTTGATTGTGTAGGGGATTCTTCAGTTGATTGTGGCGGAATTTCGGCAACCTTCGCTGGTCAAAAACCGGTGATTTCGAGGTCAAAATCCGCCAACATTGCAAGCTCAAAACCATTAGTTTCGCTGCGAAATCCGGCAATTTCGAGAGGTAAATTCGGCTGATTTTTGCAAGTTTAATACAATTCCAGCCACCGCAATTTCGGTAGGCCTATTCCGGCAAGTCGATTCAATTCCAGCAGTTTTCAAGAATTGCTAACCGTCGGGGAAGAGAAAAGGGGAGGGTGGTCGGGGAAGGGGGTTGGGCTACGGCACTCCGGGAGGAAGGGGGAAGGACTCGTCGGTTGTTACGGCTGGGTTATGGTGGGTGGGTTTTTTGGTGGGGGTGGCTAGGCAGGTGGTTGGGTTAATTTTATTAGTTTTTTTTTTTTTAATAGAAATCTAACTATAGTTAATAAATTTAATGAAATAAGGTTATGAGTGATTGAAAAAATTAAATTAAGGTCATTTTGTATAATCCAAAAAAGGGGGTTACCATTGGTGCGTAGCAATTGTTGGGGGTTACCGTTGAGAATATCCCTTTATATATTTATTATGAACATATATGTTTCGTTATTTATTATGAACATATCTGTTATTGATTATGAACACATATGACATATAGATTGATAATTTATTACGAGAGCGAGTATAAGCGTATTAAACAAGTATTATCATATAGGTTTAATTTGCTTTTAGCATTTTCATATAGCTTTATACGTGTAAAAGTTTGGAACAACAAGTATGTAAGTCTGGAACAATAAGTACAAAAGTTTTGAACAATTAGTATAAAGCTTTGGATCAATAGGTATAAAATTTTGGAACAACAAGTATAAAGGTTTTAAACAATAGGTATAAAAGTCTGGAACAATAATAATGGCAAATCCGTAAATAATGAGGCGGTTTAACAGTACACGTAATAACTCCACGTTCCCTCTAAAATTTGAAAACAGTCAAAAATTCTCAAAGACTCTTTAACTCCACTAATTAATCCCACTTCCCCGTTACTGCAAAAAAAAAAATATGTTCGTAATCTCCATTGAATTCCTATTGTTCAAATTTTTTTTTTCTTCAAAAAAAAAAATACACTGTTCGTAATCTCCATTGAAACCCTATGGATTCTTCCGGAAATGCTCCCAGGCCAGCAAAAAAGTCTCTTGTAAACTTCATGTAAGTCGCATTTTCATTAATCTTTAAGAAATACTGACATTATTGATTTGAATTTCAGATTGTTGTATAAAATCGTTTGTTTGTATACAAGAAAAGGATTGAAAAAGAGACTTATTGTTCATATTTTATATGCACAAATTCAGAAAAAAATAGTGTTCCAAACTAATATGCATATTATTCCTAACTTATACACGTAATGTTCCAAACTAATATGCCTATTGTTCCTAACTTATATACGTAATGTTCCTAACTTAAATGCTCATTGTTCATAACACATACACGTAATGTTCCTAATTTATATGCCTATTGTTCCTAACTTATATAATAAATGTTCCTAAATTAAATGTTTAGGAGTCCTGAGAGAAGTATTATCCCCTTCCAACCTCCAAAAGAGATGAAAAGAAAGCAGTCTTCTAATTGTTGTTGTACAGCAAAAAAAGGCTGCACATTTGGAGGAAGAAGATCAAGAAGAAGAATGAGATCGTGCATTGATTAAGAGAATCACCCCCAAACAGCTTATAACAAGAGTTATAAAAGACCTTCCTGATTAACATAAGGAAGCTATCAAAATTTTGGGGTTTGGTGGATTACTTCAATTAAGTTTAGATGCACACAAGGTCAGTTTTTGTGTTGAATTGGTCAGTAGCTTTGACCAAGATAGATCATCTTTGGTACTCTCAAAAGGAAATGAGATATCAATACTGCCAGAGGATGTTCATTTAGTCTAAGACTTGCCCATTGAAGGAGTCCTAATTATAGAATCAAAATCAAATGACTCTGATGAAGAATGTAAACTGTTTCTACAACAATGGAGGAATCAGTTTGGGCTTAACACTGGAAGTCCAACTTTCTCTGTACTTGTAAACAAGATAGAAGATCAAAAAAAGGATGTTCATTTAACACTGGAGAAGATTGTCCTATCACCTACGAAGGGACCCTAATTGGAAATAAAAAGGATTGAATAGACTTTACCAAACAACACAAACATCAAAAGTGGTCAAAGGTGGCTTTAGTTTCAATTTGATTTTTGATAATGTAGGTTATTATTAAACGATCAAAAGTTAACAGATTCTAGATTTTCTTCATTGTTAATTGGTGCATGATTTGAAGATTTTGAGAATTTAAGTGAAACAATACCATGGTTAGTAGGTTTTCCAACTGGAAAAAAAACCCATGGACTTTCAAACAAATACAAACAGAAATATTGAAAGATACAAAAAATTGTGCGGATCTTCAACTGTAGCTGGGAAACTACACCTTGAAACATCAACTTCCATCGAGATGAACATGACATTGATAGAAGTAGTATAGCCACGGATAATTCTGTGTTATGATATTGCAAAACAGCAATCAAAAGATTTAGGAGGTATGACAGTTAGACCGGTAGGAAACAATTATATTGCATTAATATTGTACCAGGTTTCACACCTTAAACATCACAAATATCAAACATTTTGGCATGCCAAACTTACAAGCAATGTATAGAAAGATTGAAATATAAAAGTGATCGACATGAACCTTTTTCTGTCCTTCATGAGACAATATTGATCACCTTATCGATCCCACCATTTTCTCAAAAGAGCCCATTGTAAGTAGTTTTTATTTTATTTTATTTTTATTTTATTAAAATTATACAATTACTTTATTTTAAAATTGGAAGAATGCTCTAATTCTAATTACACTTGTGTCAATGTGTCACCAAATATTTGTAAGGGA